CTTCTCTGGATTTTTAAATGTTATTTAAAAATTAGCAATGATTCAGACTCTGGAGGCATCAGGACTCATGTGGTGCTGCCTCCATAACCTTTATTTGCAGTCTTGAAAAAGAAAATAGAGGAAGACACCACTCAGTGACCCAGAGAGGCCCCGTTACACCAGTAACAGTACCAATCTGCCTCTTCTAGCTTGTACTTCCAGTGGGACGTGGTGATCCACAGTTGGTGCCAAACTCCCCAGTGTTGGTGGGCAGGAGAAAGTGGTGTTGAATGGGGAGAGCACAAGGAGGTTTCACCTACAGCTGTAGGTGCGGAGTGGCACGAAGAGGGGTGGCCTTGCTTTGGAGGCCAATTAGGGTCCTTCAAGGCTTCAACTTTGCTTCAAGGACCTCCGGTGTCTCTTAGTGATCATATGTAGTGGAAAAATTGTGCAAACTATTCCCACCTATGAAGGCATACTTCCACACTCATGTTCTTAACCTGTGACAGGAGGCCTAGGGCCAGGTTTGACAAGACATTCAAGTGTCTAGAGATGCAGGTGGATGTCTTCGGGTGTTTCTGAACACACTGAAGTGAACATAGCTAAATTTCACTTGAGCAGCGTGTAAAGTAGTTTGGAGGTCAGACTGTTTATGCATCAGCTGAGCAAGACCCTCCTTGCCCTTGTATTTGCAAGGCCCACAACTCCCAGTTTTCCCAGAAGAGAGAGGGATCGAAGCTGACAGCGGAGCCTGCAGCTCCACAACAGATCAGCCTCACAGCAGTTGGTCCTGGTTTTCCCTTGTGCTCACACGGGCAGGTTCAGGGAAGTAAACCAGCATTTTTTTGCTGGGCTGGATTTTCCGGTAGATGGGCTCAGACTGTGGAGCCGCTTCCCTTGCTCTGGCCTCTTTGCTCCCTCGGGGCATAGACCTGGGGCCACTGAAGATGGAAAGGACCTTGGTGCTGTAAACACGTCCTCGAGCTCTCCGCGCCGTAGCCTGCAGGCAGGACCATACATGGTGGAGTCGACATCCCTAAGATTCCTGAAGGGCATACCCGCCTTCCTCAGGCATGGGCTTTGATTTGTGCGTAACCCCTTGGGAAGCAGTTGTAATTCCTGCTCCGTGGACTCCTCCTGTGCTGTCAGAAACATGCAAAACCTTTCTTGGTTTGTTTTGTTTCAAAACACGAAACCTGGTTTATTTCGAATAGTTTTCTCATTGACTCCTCTGACAGAATTGTTACTCACAGATCTTTTTTTTTCTTCTGGCTTCCATTCACCTTATTGCATACTTTCACCTTTCATAGCTGACTCACGACTTTTATTTTAAATGAGCAGGTGAGATGGTGCTTAATTAAAGCTTTTGGAGTGGAGGTGGGGATCATTGAAGGGTGATGATGTAGAGGGTGACCTCCTCTCCTCATCCACAGAACTGAATCGGACTGGAGAGGTGGGTGTTCTGCCGCTGTCCTACCCAGAGAAGCCGCCTCTGAAGCACAAGAGGTTAATTCCTTCTCTGCTCCTTGGTCTCTCTTCTGTAACTGCCAACAAAGGTAGCAATTAGAGTGTTATCTCGGGGGATGTTCCCTGATGTGGATAATTGCGGAACTGGGAAACCATGCTGATACGCTTAGTGAATTTCTTACAGGCCAGAGAACACCCCTGGCATGGTCAGTAGTAAAAGTAAGTTGTTACCTAGACTAAATTTGTGCTAATACCTTAGGGCAAAAGGTTCCATATCCAGTACAAGGCCCTTGAACCATCTGGTTGTTTGAAGGATCAGCTCTACCCAGCCGCAGTCAAGAATGTGGAACATGCCTTAAAGGGCAAGTTGGTTTGTGCCTGTCTTTTTTTAGCTTTTTGGGGGGGGCAGGGGCAATTTCTGTAGCATAGTTTATGTTTCAGATAACAAGTATGCGTGCTGTCATATTTGTTATGTAAAAATAATAAAAAAAAAAATCTTAGTGACAATTTTGTTCTTGTGGAAGCAGCCTGAATCAAAAGAGAGAGTTAAGGAATGACTTTCACAATTTGCAGATGCCTGGGGGGAGTTACGATAGCTGGTTTTTTAGCCTAACTAACATTCAAGGATATGATACAATCCAGGATCCAGCGTTTGAAGGCTGTAACGCAGCAATCCAAGATTTTTATTCTTATTTTTTAAAAAATGTTGTTGAAAATAATTGACTACTTGAAACAATTTAATAAGGGCTGTAGTGGATTTAACAGGAATTGTAGTGGGTTTTTCATTGCTGGTACTTTTAAATCAAAATCAAATGTTTTGTTCACACAGACAGTAATTTTAGGAAAATCTCATGACCGCCTTGAGTTCAGGCGAGAAGATCGCCGTGGTTGTTTTTGGCCTGATAATCTATAAGTGCGTTGCCCAGAACAATATAGTAGTTTCTGCACTCGAGCCAGAGATGTCCGGGAAAAAAGAGCGGTGCAGCCAACTCTCCCTGTGCGCCCTCAGACACTGGGGTGTCGGGGGGAGTGTTGGAGAGATGGGGACAGTTTGACTGTCCCAGTAAAGTGAGTGAACGTCTCCTCTTTGGCTTCGGTAGGCTCCAGGTCAGGAAACTTTGCAAACTTATCTGCAGCCCTTGAGTTGGTTGTGTTTGCGGGTGTCCCCCGAATGAGATTCTCCTCCCGGCGGCGCGCTGTGCGGACGCGGTGAGCCCTGGCTGCGGGGAACTGCTAGGGAAAGGTCAGGCACCCCTGGAAAACGAGTAGGCAATATATGCAAATTGTTGGTATTTAATTCAGTCGTGTAGTGGGGAAGAATAAACATTATTCCTGACATTTCCATTTTTGATTAATGATGAATGGAGTTGGCAGATGTTCAGCTGGCCACCAGATGGGGTCTGCTCAGTCCAACAAACAGAACAGAAACAGTCTGGGTCTCGTAAAGCCAGCACTGACAAAAGCTCTGACAAAACCTCTAGTTCATCCGAGCGATAGGCCAGCTTTGACCTCAAAACAACTTAGCAGTTTAAGAATGGAGGTAGTACAACCAGCGAAACTGCTTATGGAAGTGAGATGGGGTGTGGAGGGATTGGAGCTGGTTAATTTGCCGGAGTTTCAGCGGGTTTGGTGGATGTTTTTTTTCTTTCCGCTGCGGGATCCCCGGGCGGCGGCTCTGATTTCACGGGGCTGGATCCGTGCGAGATCCTCCGCTCGCCCGCGGTTACCGGCGGGGCTGGAAGGTCTCCGGGCACCTCTCCTGGCACTGCCGGTTTGCGGGGGGGACGGGCTGTTTTTAACGTCGTTAGCCCAGGATAAGGCTTTGCGACTCGAGGTCAGGTAGCCCCGTGTTGGTGCGGGTCCACCAGCCTGCCTTTCTGAAGGACTACGTCTGGCCGTGGGTCATCAGCCCACGGGCGGAGGGCTGAGGGCTCTTCCCGCCCCCCCGTGGGACTCTCCCGTGTCCGGCTGAGCGCCGGGGGGCTCGGGCAGGCCCGGGGGGACGGGTCCCGGGATGGGAACGGGGATGCTGCTTTGAGCTCCTCTGCCCGCGGCACCGCCGGGCCTTTACCCGTCAGGGCCGGCTCCCCTCAGCACCCTGCGGGCACAGCCATTCAAATGGAGAAGAATGAATTTAAATTCATGCAAATTCGGTTCCTGGGGGAAGCGATAAGTGTCTGCGAAGTGCCCCGTCGCCGTCCCGCTCGGCGAGCCCGGGCAGATAAGGAGCCCCCGGCCGCGGGGGGTGGGGGGAGCTGGGCCGTGCTGCCCCGGGCAGCGGGGCGGGGGGGTGTGTGGGGGTGTGTGTGTGTGGGTGTGGGTGTGTGTGTGTTGCCGCTTTGCCCCCGAGATGCAGCGCGAATAAATTCCCTTTGATAATGACTTCCCAAGGGAGACAAAGAGCGGGAGGGAAGAGGAAAGAGGAAATTTGACCGCGGTGTTCACGGTGACATTCGCGGTGCCGGAGGGGAAGCTCCCCGCCAGCCTTTGAAGCCAAAACCACCCGCCTCCCGGGGCTTTTTATGTCCACGCCGGGAGGGGGGAGAGTTAAAGTCAGGGCTGGCAGTTGTTTGTCCAGGGGCGTTTGGAAAACGCTCCAGTGGCTCGGGTGTTACTTTTCTGTGCGTAAACTGGGGCTCGGATGCCTGTTCCTCACTTGAGACGGTGCCAAGGGAGGCAGTGATGGGGATCTGCCCGCTGTGGTCCTCAACTTCGCATTGATTTATTTTTTTATGTTTTTTTTTTAGTTTTTATTATGTTTCTGTACACACAGGGATCTGGCACAAATGTGTTCCCCCCGTTTTTACCCTAGTCCTGGGTTGCTCCGTGCGCTCGGACGGTGGGGCCGGGCAGGGTGAGCCCGGGGCGGCCCCGGAGGGCGGCGGAGGGTGGGGTGGGAAATCTATTTTGGCCGTCAAGGCGAACAAAAGCCTTGTCGCTAAACCACATTGTCCGTCGTGTCCTGAGCGCAGAAATTTATTGCTTGGTCCCCCGGGGTAGGCAGGCGGCGGGGCTGGAGACCCTTCCTTCCTTCCTTCCTCGGGGTCGGTGGCAGGAGCGGCCCTCCCCTCCCCTCTCTCTC